CACTTGAGGGGCATTCAACTGTGAGTTGAGTGTAAAAGATACACCAGGGACACTTGTTCAATATTCATTTTACCCTTGACCTATGTATATACAACAAAGTAGAAAGGTTTGACCAGCATACAACTGGCCCTTGAGTGATATACCACCACCATTTGAGTGGTATTCCACTAAATACTTGACCAATATGCATGTACCATCGACACTGAAACACTCTGTCACTGATACTTGAACTCTGCTGATGCTTGAGCGAGTGGCTGCCGACAATTGCAACAACAACAACAACAACAAGCTTTATTTCCCTTAGTCTCACAGAGATATTTTACAAAGTTATATGTTAATAAAGTTATGGGCCTGAGTACCTGAAATAACTAGAGAGTTAAATAGGGCAGGCAGTCAGGTCTACAGATGACCTGTCTATTCAGATGATACTTTACAGAATGATGTTACAGAATGATTTCAGAATTGTGTATAGACAACTGACTGATTTACAACCAACAAAGCAAACAAGTTTCACAGGGGCTAATAAAATTAATATAAGACTGAAATTATATGATGTTTTAGTTATTATTCAATCAAATTGATTATTTTTCTCTTTTCTTGATTCTCAGCTCTTTAACAATGGAATGTTAGCTGTGGAAACAGTAAAAGACCAATTCTGTGGTCAGCCTCACCCAGGCAACTAAGTGTTGTTCAGTAGTGTACAAATACATAATTTGCTCAACCTACTTGGGTTTCACGGTAGTAATAGAACACCTTCAAAATAACCATATTCATAAATCTGGAATTTTTTGCAAGAATGAATTAGTCGGTTCTTTTTTTCTATACGTGCCAATCATCCTAGATCTTGCTTCTTAAGATGATTTCTGCAGAACATCCAAGCAATAATGGCAAAATTTAAGTTACCAAAAAATCCTCATGGCATGGTAGTATTTTGAATAAAGATAGGAAGTTCTTATCGAGACCTTAGCTCTCAAGCTGTCCCCGCGAGAGAAAATTGAACTTGAAGTTATCCATATTTCTATTAACCCTTTAAGTCCCGATAGTGCCATAAGGCACAAAATGTTATAATAAGCTTAATATTTGGCCAATTCATTTCAAATTTGGACACCAAAAGGATCTTTGAGAGATCTTCACATTGAAAGCATAAAATCATACCCCCCTTCTGAATCAGACTTGATTGACCACCCCTCAAGTTTTTGAGACTTTTACGCTTTACAATTTTACAGTCAAGTTAATATCTGATAAAAATCTGCACACCCAGAGCTGCAAATTGAGCCACTGTTTAGGGGTATACCCAGTATATACAAGGCATTAGGTATTTTTTAACGTTTTCATCATTGAGTTATTTTTTTGTAAAAAAATACCTCTTAATCGGCGTGTCGGGTATGTTATGGACGGGTCAATGAATAAGTGAGTGAGTGAGTGAGTGAGTGAGAGATATATGTATGTCACACCAATCAGATTGGATCTACTATAAACAGCAATCAAATTTCTTGTTGTAAAGGTAAATTGTTTGTGGGAAGATTTGATCCCGATAGAGTTCAGAATGGCCAGATTTATTCTTCTATAAAAGAGGAGGAAGTATTCATATATTGGGTTTACTTCGGCATTTTCTCTGGGTTAGGCTGAGGATTTTAATTATGAATGAGATGAGCCTTGAGGTTTGAAACAGTTTGTGCGTTAGTAGTATGCAAATGGCATGAGATATTTTCTTTTTAGTTACAAAGGTAACTTGATACTTTTGTTTTTCACAAGGAATAAATTCAATTAGAGGTCATGAATTGTCGCTTCTAGTTCTTAGGACATGTTTTAGAGGAGACGAGACTATTTAGATTTGAAAAAGTTCCAATGTTTACAATAGTAAGTGCAGGTAACAATTGTTTTGTTCCCGTTTCATGCAAATATAACGAGATATTTTTATTTTTTAGTTACAAAGTGTAATTTGACACTCTTGTTTTTCAGAAGAGAGTAAATTCAATTAGAGCTGACGAATCGTCACCACTCTTTCCCACAAGATGTTTGCTATCTTTAGTTACAAATGGTAACTTACCACTTTTGTTTTTTATATGGGAGTAAATTCAATTAGAGCTGACAAGTTATCGGCTATTGTTTCCAGGATATTAAACAAAAAAGGAGCTTTCGTTTCTGGACAGTTTTTACATCTCTGCAGTAGCAGTTTAATAGTTTTATTTGATGTCATTCATTTCAGTCCAATATTTTTAAAGGTAAAAAGTATGAAAACTGCTCAAATGTTCTTTGAAGACTGCGTGGCGCCAAGTTAAAGTGCAATTTAATT